TCTTACTCTTATAAAATCTCAATATTCATTGCATATTTGCATCATTGCCACAAATATTCATAAATGACTAATGAGTGTATACAGTATACCCTATATAGTTTTTTGACTAAACCATCACGAAATTTATTGTCAACAGTCGTAACTTTGTACTGGTATGACTTACCGACGGATGGACGGCCACTGTGGAGATAATAGTTCCCAAAATTATGTATTTATAAAAATATAAAATACCTTACAGTATTGTTTTGTAATTTAAGATCTGAAAGCAACAACAAGACATTTCCATATTTTTGGTCCAAATTAGTTTTTGATTTACATTATTAAGAGAAAAAAACTTAATCGTTTGGTTCAACAAAACGATTGTTAAATACAGAGTTTTGTAAAATTGTATTAATTTTAGATGACTTGTTGTTGCTCTCAGGTCTTCAATTATTAAAAGTGTATTTTTCTATACATACAATAAGTTAGGGAGGACAAAACCTTAAACCACGATGATTTCATCAATGCCTATAATATGCACAGTGCACACCAATATATTAATATCGCAAACGTGTTTTCATACTTCACTCGCCGATCAAAACAATTCACAATACATACGAATACATATAATGGCTGTTAAAAAAAACGTTACGGTTGACAGTATAATTTTTGTCGTATATATCGAAAGTAAACTTGTGCCTTCCGATTTATTTAACAGTGTTTCAAATCCGAACCTTACCTTCGAGGAACACGTCGAAAATATAGTTTAAAATCGACACGCAAAGAAATTCTTACAAGTATCTTATCTATTATCTATTATACTGTATTTTAACATTTTTCCATCGTAAATATACACCTCTGAACTATGGCCCGGATAAGCAAAAGCAAAAATATGTCATCACCCAAAAATCTCTATATATATAGGCCGTATAGACTAGACACTTCTTATATACTTCTAATACTTGTGGTATATGACTTGCCAAATTAGTTTATGAGATGAAAAGGTAATGAAATGCTAGAAATATTTTAGTCATGTAAGTAATGGGTATAGTACTATAATTTTACAAAGACCTATAGAAGAATTCACTAGACCCGTAGGCCGTAGCCCGTAGTTTTATAATATATAATTAATCTCTCCGGGACGTAACCCGAGAGGTGGCAGCCCCAGGTTATGATGTATACTACTATAATATTACTGTACATTTGACCGATTTAAGATGTCAGTAAAAACATATAATCGTTCTACCATTTATCAGCGTCTAATAATCTTTTTTATAATATAAGTGGTTTATAGTTGTAAATACTTGCGAGAAAAACTGAAAACGTGTTAAACACGGGTATCAATAAACCCGCATACCACGTTTTTAACTTCCAACCGACATGCGTGAATATTAAAATATCATTTTTGTGAATTTTATAATATTAAGTATTACTATTATATGTTTCAGATATTTCAGCGTAATAGTATATTTTATATATATACTATATATGATATATTTAGTATTATTAGTGTAAATCAGAAGTCACGGAAGGTTGCCAACAAACTCTTTTATCTTATAAAATAACCAAAGCATACTTTTCCCAGGGGCGTATTTGATCTTTTCCACCAGGAACGACTTTGATATATTATTAGTATTTTTTATATTAATGCTTCGACAACTGAGGTCATTAGCCTGCTACTGTTGGGGGAGGGTACTGTTGGTTTGGATACGTGTGTGTATGTGTGGACAATAGGATAATAATATATAAATATTATTATGTTTCGCCTCTTGTTGAGCGTGTTTCTAGAAATATAAACAGCGGGTGGTTAACGTTATATTGTTGTCCTGTGCTGACCGTGAGGGACGAAAGAAGAGAAGTGAGGCACACCTGTTGCCTCGCGAGTGGACAACCACAATAAATTATTATTATCATTATTGTAGCTGGTAATTAATATCCACAATAGTAATTCATTTAATTACTATTTACTTATTTACTTATATTAATTCACAGTAAATCGCTATAGCGTTATGTACGTCTCTCCTCGTACAGTACTATGATTATTAATGTTGAATCTGTAGGTAGTAATAATCAAACATAATAATATATAAATGACAAAAATCAAACAATTATTTTTATAAAAAAAAATGTATTTAATGTTAGGTACTTTCCATAATTTTTTATTGAAATCCACACCTCAACAATTATTGTTTTAATATAACGCACAAGAATGTTCTATATTGTGTAATGTTTATATAGTATTGCAATGAATTACAATACAATGTTTTTTAATGTAAATTAAATTAAATTACGACGTTGACATTTCAATTTCTTCTTTTGCGCAACACTATAAAGATAGGTAGGATACATAATGTGCGTAGGCACACATATATAAATAAATTAACAATTATTACAACTTTGAAAACATAACCGAGTTATATAAAAACGAAACAACAACAACAAAAACAATAACATGACATGCGAGTTTCTCTAAACGTAGGTATAGGTATAATATAATAATATGCTAATGTCTAATGGTAGACCTTAATTTTCTATTTTTTTTTACAGGTTAAAGTTACTTTTAGTATATAGGTACATTTTAAACAATAATTTTGAATTCTGAATCAGTTTTCATTCTACTGCATGTCTGCATATTATTATAAAGGTTATTTTCATTTCATTCACCACGAACAGTTCCCGTAAAATTAATTACAGTCAAATTTATTATTCAAAATGTAATTTAGAAATTGAAATGGTTAAAAAAAGTTTAACATATTAATTCCCACGTTCTAGACAAATTAGTATTATTTATTAATACAACTTCATACTTCCCGGCTATCTCGGACACGTTTGTATTTTTTTATGTTATTCGTAAAAATATAATGTAGGTAATACACTACTACCATCAGACTGTTATTTTATGAGTAACTGTGTGCATTAGGTATAGTGTGTAGTGGGTACACTATACATGGACTTATTACAAGTCCAGCAGTTAGACTCTAAGTCTCTATAGCGTGAATAGGTACCAATTGCGCAATTAGTAATCACACAAATCAATCTATACAGAGCCGTTTGTCGTTGTAGTATCTTTTGATCGATCACTAATCCGACACTCGTATTGTAATCTATACAGAAAAATAATTATAAAAATAATACTCAATAAATTGATCAAATAGTAGCTATGTATTTGTATAATTTTACTGCATAATGACCAGATGACCGATTTCCAATATTAAATTATAACTATTTGTAGAAAAAAATATAGGTATCAAGTATGAATTATGTACCTAGCTATTAATCACCATGCGTCGAGGTCGATTATCGTTGTCCGTTATCGCAATATTATTGTAGTATGTATCTATATACATATAATAATATTATGAGGAGGTAATTATAAAAAAAATTTTTAAAAAATCGGACATGTCGCTCTGCTGTAGGTAAATACATGTTAAGCGCTCCTCGTAATTGAGTAAGTATTGTAGGTAACTGTGATGGATGTGGTTAAATTTACAATTCAATGATAAATCATTTGATACAAAAACGGTCCTGTTTCTGCTATGAATATACCTACCCGTCAGCATGTAATTTCAAAGACATTTTATACATTTATATTGCTATTAGTAATTTATTTTTCTCTTTGTAGTATGGTAACTTAGATTGAACTAATTTTGGACAAAATATGTATAAGTAAATAAGTCAATACATATTTCCTAATAAGTTGTTGTTACAGAAACTTAAAAATCTCAAAAATAAATGTGACCATTTTTTTTATTGGATTTTCAAGTTCAAGTTTAATTTTGACAAAATTGAATACCTATTCAACATAAAAATAACTATTTGTTATTGTATTTAATTAAAAAATATTATTTGTAGGAACTTTAAAATTGTTGCCATTATGTATATAATTTATGGTTATTTAATATACACAGTATCTTTTTAAAATATTCTGATTCATATTGTATGCTATTTATACTACGAACTTATTCATAACGTATCCGTAGTTCATGAGTCGCAGTTTCAAGTATAAGGTATAACCAGCTTAAAATAAATCTTAAAAATATTTTGAAAATGTTATTGTGTATAGTAAATAATAGTATCTATACTTAGTGCCAAAAAGCTTCAAGTCCCTACTAATAGCATTTATTGAATTACAACGAAATAACTAAAAACATGGTCATCCTTTCAAAAAGGGTTTATTTAGCAGATTATTTAGACCAGTCGTATGAAGAAGGGAGTCCTAGACGCCTGTTGTCACACACGTATCAGTTTACAATATTATGTTTAATTATTTTATAGCTAAAATGCTAAATGCATTAATACTATGTGCAACATATATAGAATGTTACCAAATGTATATTCAGTGGTTATTACATACATAACTCAATTTTGTTAATTTTGGAAATAGAAGGTTTTCGAGTGATCAGTTATATGCAACGAAATGTAAGTGCGATAAATATGCAGATATACTTTGTAAATTATTAATAAAAGACAAGGTTTGTGTTAGTGACTGAACTTTGATGATTTTTACGGTACCAGTTCCTGTACGGTTCCTAGAAAAACTAAAATTTCGATTCTGTTCTTAAAAAATAAAAAATTTGTTACCTGTTTTGGTTTAATACTTATGTAAAAGAATTTGTAAATCAAAAATATCGGTTCCGGTTTTCTAGTTAATATAAATAAGGGTTCTGGAGAGGTTTCGGTTCCCAATATTCAAAGGGTTCCAGTTCCAAAACCGATTCTTTTCGGTAAGGTTCCCTGGACATTGTGTGTGTATGTGTAAGTGATCTCCAGCCCAAAACAATTTTGTCAAATTTACAATTAACGCGAGTATAAGAATAGGGGTGAATCCACTGACATTTATAATTTGTCACTAGTCTAATAGCCCCATATATAGGCGACGATCGTCAAATTCGTCATAATCTGTACAAAACCTCGAAATCGTAAAAAAAAAAAAAATGATGATAATAATATCAATAATAATAATACCGTAACAACTAAATTGCAGTTACCGAATAATACAATGTCGCTATTTTGTTTTCCAGAACGAGTGGAGACACTGTCGGTTGCAGATGTTCAACCCGGAACTGGAACCGGTGAACTTGCAGAACAGCCACCACCACCGTCGACCGGAACCGGGCCGGGCGCCGGAGATGCCGGGCAGACTTCAGCAGGATCGCGCGGCGCACAGCCGACCGGCGCCCGCGAACCCGCCTGCACACGACGACCGGGAACAGACCAGACACCACGCCTAGCCGAGACGAGCGAACTTGTAGCGCTAAAAATTATAAATAATATTATTAGGTTCATCGCAACGGGCTCGTTTATGTAGATAATACAGTACGCATCGTTTACGGCAACAACAATCATCATCGGACTACGACGGCGGTAATGACTCAAAACTCGATAGGTACCTATCGTATTCAATTTGTGTTTGTGGATTTTTCCAAAGAAGCAGACAGGTGAAACGCAATCGTCCGATTTTCGAAAATCTATGTAAAAAATAAAAAAAAAAAAACCATGTTGATAATAATATTGTTACTATATTACAACAGTGACGTAGCCAGGATTATGAAATGGGGGGTGTTCAAGTATAGATTAAAACCAAGTCTTTACAGCTTTCGTATATAAATAAATTTAGGGTTCGGGACTTGGCTTGTTGCACTAAAAATTATCGAAATATGCAGTCAAACTTGTCAAAATATGCTTAAATATATGCAGCTATTTTCAATAAAAATAGCCGATTTTTACTAACTAAAAAATAAGGAGGTATATAAACATGATATAAATAATTTATACACGTGTTAACTAATTTTAATTTAGGTAGGTACCTGTATTGATTAATATAATGGACGTCGGACGGAGGACACTATTGCATGTTTTGGACATTTTTAAACTATTGTGAAATAAAACAACTTAATTTTTCAAAATACTGACATAAAATACTAGGTTAATAAATAAGTAATAAGTAATAACGAATAACGTGTTATGCTACCACCGTGAATCGTGATAAACGAACCCGGATCTAATGATTTTGGGCCAACCGTAGCCAAGCTCCACCAACAACTTTAACAGCCCTCCCAAACATTTACTAAATTTTTTTAAGCTTATTCAATTTTATAATAGTCTGGTTTTAGGCTTCGGCCTCCCCAAATCTCAAAATTAGCGCCTATTGTACCTAACCAAACATAATATTTTTAAAGATATTTTTCAATGTTATCCAAATATAATTTTCCCGACAATTGTATGTACATTTAAGTTAAAAAAATTCAAAATATGCACAAAATGCGTAAAATCTCTCAAATGTACACTTTTCCTAAAATATGCAAACATATGCTCATTCAAATTTTCTTTGATAAGACATATAAAAAATTTCATAAGACAAATTTACAACTTATCTAAAATAATCTACGACCAGTGACCACTACAATAAAACATGCAAGCAGTCCCGAACCCTATAAACAATATATTTATTAGCGGGGAAAATTTCTATGGTGGGTGTTTAAACACCCAAAACCCCCCTTGGCTACGCCACTGTATTACAATAATATTATCAACCCATCATTATCGTCGTCGTTGGTCGCGAGCTTACGCGGTCAGAGACTTAAATATTGTTGCACCTTTAAATTATCGAACAACCCTCCCTCTCCCCTACCCGACATTGATATCGTTGTATTATACACACTGCTGCTGCCGGCACGTCGTATAGAGTTAGAGTTAATAATATAAAAATAATGCTAATAATAACAATAATAATAGTATAATAATATAAGAGTGCAAAAAACTTATCCCAACCCCGTAGGATTAAACGCGTCGAGTCGAGCGGACGCGTGTTGTATTGTACTTAATATTGTATAGGAAAAAAAAAAAAACACTGTTTATTTGAAAAAAAAAATCGAACAAATAACGCTCTATAATACAAACAGTGGTTTCGGAGTTCACGTTCTGGTCGTTACCAACACATACAAAATGTACGATGCCTTTTATGTATTTATGTATTTTTTTTTATCGTGTTGAGTATTTGCCGACGTGACTGTATTATTGTGTTGCACGACCGAAAATGAGCCTCTTATCAGATAATTGTTCCAAAACAGAATTACTAAATTGTGTGGGTAAATACCGCTGGGTCAGCCCCGACTTTTAAGTACCTACCAGATATAGGTCCACCCGTGTACAATACAATACCTAAATGTACACTCGGTATAATAATTTACACTCGAAACGTACCCGTTTTCAGTATGGGTACTTTGACTGTGCGTGTGACTTACTATAATAATAATATTATAACACTATATATAGGTGTGATAAGGCACCTACTTACCCACGTCTAATGTAAAAATATTATAATATTGTCGTCACCTTTAGATTGATATTAAATACGATCGTCTGTGTATTATTAATAATTATTATATTTCAACGGTCAACACGACCGGTGAAACTCGAGGGGGAGTGTAAAATCAATGTGAATTTAACTTGTCATGTGTCATGTTTATTATAATATATATTATTATTTCGTTATACCTAGTTATTATTTTAAGTTTAAAAACGAATATTTTGCAATGTTATTATATTTTTATTATTATTTTTTTTTTGTTTTATGGAATAATTGTATGGAAAAAACTACTTACGCTTTTTTACGCGTTAAAATTTCTTTTTCTTTTTTTTTTTTGTTATTAGTTTTTAATTATATATTAGGCAATACTTATTCATAGCATTTTTAACATCTACTAAAAATTGACCAAGTTTTTAAATAATACCTATTATAATCGTATATCTTTGTCTCGGTATAATTATTACTGTTACCACTACTGTTAATCTATTTCTAAGGATGCCCTGGGAAAACTGTTGTTGTACAACTAGTGTTGAATAGATAAACCATATAAATTGAACAAACATAACAAAACAAAATTTATCCCATTTTAGAATTTTCCTAAACCTAATAATTAATGTAGTCGACACAGGCACATATGCGCAGTAAAAATTTTTCGACGCCTTTATATAATTATATATTATCATAATCAATATAAATTAAATGATAAAATATATAAGTAAAAAAAGTTTTAGTTTAAGTTTTCGGCAACCACTCCGGCATAGGCGTGTCTACGGTGGCAGCCTTGGGTGCCTGGGCTGCCCCTTCAAGTTTTGAAAGGTGCAGGTCAACCAAGTTTTAAATCAGAAGGGTCACCATTTATTTTTTTTTTAATTTTATTTTTTTGTGTGTATCGTTATAATTAGTAATTACCATTTACTTACAAGGATATGTCCAACAAAATTAGGTAGATAATATCTTTATTTAACATGTATTGTCAAATTGATATCCTGACTTCGGAAATCGAAAAAAACCTACTATAAAGACTTTAGATGGTACGTTTCGCATATAGTTATTATTGATATTATTGTTGTATTATGTTTGATTTGTAGCTAGATGGTGTAATCCAAGGCTGTAAATGAATAGGGATCAAAATTTCCGAAAAAAAACCCGGGGTTTTTAACCGTTTTTTCGGAAAAATTGGGAAAATTTGGTTTCATTTAAAATTTCCGGATTAATAATAAAAAATAATTTATAATAATATAAAAATATATTATCGTATCCCGCATTTCCGCCAATGATGTTTTGTTGTTATGTATTTTTCTAATAATAATTAATAAATATTGTCATTACTCATTTGTCAATCGTGCGCTGTCTATATATTTTTTACAACTTACAAGTAATATTAATTATATAACATTTAAAAATACAGGTGATTTATTTTCGGGGAAATGCACCCTTCCACATAAATACCAATTTGATATGTAGGTAACTATGTTATTTTTAGAACAAATATTGAAATAGCCGTATTATATTTTTAATACCTACTTTAATTTTAAATTTTAATACAGTAATACATTGATATAACCGTATTGGCAAATGTGAAATGACAATGACAGGTTTAATTATGTATTTTTTAAAATGGTTTTTTTTTACATATGTTATTTTAATTTTAATAAGCTTAAATTCAATTTTTTAATTTTCCGAAATTTTCTGGTATTTTGATTTCTATAGATGCATAATATTTCTGAAGTTACTGTAGATTATTATTGTAAATAGATAATTTAGACTTTTTTTTTTAAATAATATAAATATTTTAATGTGAAGGGGGGGGGGGCTTAAAAAATACGGTTTTTGGTGTATAGGGCTTTTTTCGGTTCACTAATAAGGTAGCGCCGATCATTAGCTAGGCTGCCCCTGCCGATGAAGTCTAGTCACGCCTATGCCCTCCGGTATGGCGGTGGTATGGTATGTGCCTGGGTTGACAACACAATATCACATCACATTAAATTATGGTTTTTATAGTGTCTTCTTTTTTGAAAACATATTTCGATTTGTACTTATACATTTACATTATAATACAAAGGTTCTTCATTCCATACAACTTCTTGACTTACGATTATTATTACTACAATACTATTATTGTAAATTTGTATAACTATTATTAATATTAAATTAGTTTAGACACTTTGAGTGACATATTATTCAACTTTGCATTATTACGATATAATATAATAATATTATAGGTATTATTATTATTACTTAAATACTTATTGATTAAAATATAATATAACTAAGCTTTTTTTGTCAATATTTTTTATGTACCAACGAGTCATTTGGTTAAAATAAATCATAAAAGTTTATCTACCTATTAATAATAATCACATACCTACATTTTTAATACAAGACATTGTTACACAAACAATGTATAGATTTAAGCGTATTATTTAAAATCTTATTATTATGATTAAAACGAATCAATAATACAGTATATTATATTATTATATATTTAATCTAAATCTTGTGTGTTAAAAAATAGCTGTTGTTATATTTGTTTTTAAATATAACAAAATATATAAAATAAAGTTGTTAGTTATTTCGGTTTATTAATTTTATCCACTCGACGATGGCTGTCCTCGATATTTGTAAAAAAAAAAATAAAAAAATGTTTAACTTCACACGCGGTATGAGTTGTGTACTTGTGTACCTACGTCCTACTTTTGACCATAACACTTGAATTATTATAGGTTTGTACAACTACTGCAGATATCCTGTAATGCAAATTCTGCACACCAGCTTGCTGGTACTATTTAAATGAAGCTCTATATGGTATTTATAATAATAACAATAATATAAAACAACCGTATTCCAAGAAGGACGCAAATTATATTGGCTTAGCCCTGCACTCTCACCCCAACTGGAATCCCGGTCATTATAACTTAGAGT